TTTTTTTTATTGGTCTTATGGAGTATTCTAATTTGTTGAGATAGTGAGTTGGTGGGTTTTTGTTAAATGTGAGCCAAAATCATCACAATTAAAAGAACCAAAGACTTAAACTACTTCAGTCTGTGTGCACTGAATTTATTTAATACACGAATTTCACAATTTGAGTTGAATTACTGAAATAAATTAACTTTTCCACGACATTCTAATTTATTGAGATGCACCTGTATATATTATTTCAGCTTGTGTTTATTTTATTTCAAGTAATGACAATGTTTTTTAATGTTTTTAGTTTTAGTTAACAAGAATAACTTTGTCTGACACACAAATGGAAATGCGATTTTAAAGCTGAAATTAAAATGATGCATCTTTGTGTACCATAACTGAAACCAGTGTTATTTTAGTATCACTGATATACTAAAATAGCTTTTTTTAAATATATATTTTGAATAAGATTTAATTTTTACAGTTTAATTTTAGTTTTTATACTTTTTTTAAGTTAACAATAATAACTGTTTAATAGTAAGTGTTTGAAACACAAATACAAATGAGATTTGAAAGCTCTAAATTTGAAAGTTTTTTTTTTTCATCCTGGAGTAGGGGGAATGGAAGAAAACAATGAGATATATAAATAAAAAGATGGCCACAGGGACTCATTATAAATGTACTTTTTTGTTCTTCTTGAAGTTTGACAGCTCCTGGTCACTATATGTTTTAACCGTATGGAAAAGAACAGTGTGAATATGCAACAAAATTTCTCCTTGTGTTTGCAACAGAAAGAAAGCCATTCGAGTTGGAGTAACATGACAGTGGAGTTAAAAATGGCAGTTTTCTTTTCTGGTTGAAATATACCTTTAAAAAAGTGTCGATACGCAGCATCCCAAAGTCACCGCTGTTCACCTGATCTGACTGTGTTACTGCAGAGGAAAGCAGCACGAATCACTGGGACAAAGAGGGCGAGGGGTTAAACCCAAGACACTCCTCAATAATGGAGTGGAAAAAAATCTGAATCCCAACAGAGCCGTCGCACTAATCTATAGTGCTTTTGTGCATGCATCAAACTTTAAAGACGAGCTAAAATGAGAGTCGTTTGTAGTTCTTTGACACCGGTGAGTAATAAAAGGTGACTTGAGACGGCCTGTCCTGGTAACACCCACGCTTTGGCAAGTGAACAAAATTATCCAACGTTTTTTAAGCGACTGGTTATACAAAACATGCATAGAGAACTTCTAGTAAAGTTGCATGAAATTTCACACCAAGGAAATCTAGTAAGCACAAAAATACTTCAGTATCTTTACAGTATCTCGGTGTCAGTAAGCAGAGCAGAGCTGCAGAGTGTGGCCTCCTTTGGCACGCAGCAGTGAAAACAGGATGCGGCGGGTCATGTGACACGCTACGACTCCTCCGCTGCTCTCATGACCCACAAGTCCAAATGGACCACAGCGGCTGACCACTGACCTGCATGTGTTAAAGGAGCCATGCTCTGCTCTTCTGTAGCATTATAGTCCTCTTATAATGTTACTCAAGTTTTCTCGCACAAGAAACAGTCACAATATAGTTTTGCATACTCATTTTTCACATTTTGTTAGCCAGATGACTGAAGGGTAAACAAGAGCTTTTTGCTTCTGTATCTTTAAACTCCTTTATGTAAATGACCTCTTCTGTTATGATTGGTTAACCTTTGTGAAATGAATTATCAGCAGGCTCTGTCAATCATGTTACATTCAAATCGGCAATTCTCATTAAAAATGAATGACTTCTGGTCACTTTGTATCTGCAAACTGTTATCAGCATGAACACCGCTTAAGGTTACATCACAGCAATCTTACTTTAGAATTGTTTATATACTATTATATTATTTATTAATATTTTGAATTTGCTTTTATTTAATTTATTTTAGTTTAATTTTCATTAATTTTGCTTGTTCTGTCATAATTTTTTTTAAATATTTATTTTTTAGCTTTAATTTATTTTCATTTCAGTTTTACTCATTTTAGAACTTCAACTTTTATTTTCAGTTAGTTGCCAAGACGACTTTTCAAATTTTCATTTATATTTTTTAAGTTCAAGTTTTTAATCTAATATTTCATTTTATTTCAGCTTTATTTCAATTAGCAAAAACAATTTGTAATAGATTTAGATAATAACAACACTGCATCAAAGTCTTAAAGGGATAGTCCATCTAAAAAAATAATTTCTATAGTTTTTTTCCCCCCCTTTGCTGGGGCCACAAATCTCATTTGCTCTTGTGTTCAATGCACAGTTGGCGTCTTTGGACGTGTCATGCTTTATTTTTATGTCACTGAGGGCAAACACTATTGGTTCTCATGGGTCATGTGACCGACTACGGAATGACATGTAAAAACACAAACTGGATGGATGTTGAAGGTTCTTCATAGAACCAGAGATGCCAATAAGAACCTTTATTTTTAAGAGGGTAGCATACTATTTTCCCCCCTTCTTGATACTTTGTGGCATAAATCACCATTTTTTTAGGCTCCCTGCCTAAAATCTCCTTTTGCGTTGCTTAGAAGATAACATTGAACTACATGAAATTAAGTACATAGTGACAAAATGTTCATTTTGGGTGAACTATTCCTTTAAAGCACAAATACAATTCCAACAGATTTTCATACATAAGGCTAATTGCACTGACAGACAAGACCAACAGTTGTTGTGCCTGTTGCCATTGGTCGTTGCCTGTCAGTGTGGTGTGAACTGGCCTATACAGAATAAGAACATTCTGAACAGATGCACAATGTAGCTGTCTTTCAAAAACTGGGGGTAACGGTGGAGGCCGGCAAACACGGGGAACGACATTCCTGCGGCATCTCGTCTTTCTGAACGGTTAATATGACACTCGTTGCATGCTGAAGCACACAATAAAAGGCACGGCAGAATCATTACCTTTAGACACACTGCACTCCCGCAGGTGCCAAATCTCACCTTTAGTGTAGCAGCAGATGGTGGGTGGAACTGTAGAATTGTGGTGATTGTGTTCCGCCTGATACACCTGCTGACATTTGAGGGTAAATCAGCACGTGACCGTAGACCAGGTGTGCGAGGTATGCCGTGTTCTCAGTAGGGACTTACCATAGTAATCGATTTGCCGAATATGCTACTTGCTCTGTAACTAACACCTCAAATTGACTGATTACACTTGACCTGCAATACAATGACCTCAAAGATGTGAACAACAAGGACTGGCTGATGGCCTGGGACCGGCGTGAAAGACGCTCGGGACCGTTGATGGATTTGTCGCTGGCCTGATCAGCCACGCTGCAAAGTTACCATTTGCACGTGTTTTTATGTCATGTCAGTTTGAACTTTCAAGCAATTTTAAACCATTTGAGTGCAAGACCACACGGAAGAGAACTAAGTTTGGGACTTTCGTATTCCTATGTTTTCTTTTGTCTGAAAACCACCTCAGACAACAAACAAATACCGAACCGAGTTCTCTTTCATGCCTTCTTGCACTTGAACCCGCCGCGGTGAGTATCCTCATAAACACAGTCAGTTTTGTATTAAGTGAACATAAAGTGTTGAGAAGGAAAACGTGTGTTGAGCAAACGCGTTACAAGTAACGCAAGTTATGTAATCAGATTACTTTTTTCAAGTAACTAGTAAAGTAACGCATTACTTTTTAATTTACGAGAGAAAGTAACTCAAAAGTAACTCAAAAGTAGTGTAACGCATTACAATTCAGAGACAGTAATATTGTAATGTAACTAATTACTTTCAAAAGACAGTAACTAGTAATATATAATGTATTACATTTTGGAAGTAACTTGCCCAACACTGTTCATGACAAATGCTAAAGGTACAGTAACTACAGTTTACAGATCTATACTTCTTTGAATGTTCTCACACCTTTAGACCAATGAAGGATTTAAAGATAATTTATTTATAATATGAATACTGCTTTCAAATATTAAGGGACAGCTTGCACCACTACAAACCTTTTTTTTTGTCATTAAAAAAATAAATACCGTTAGGATTTACTAAAAAGACACGCAGTGAAAAATTAGCACTGAAAATATGTGGACAGTTATTTTTGCGACTGACATTAATGCATATTATGCATTTGTAGGAGTTTCACTTTCAAATGCAAAATTTATGAGGAGAGTATTTAAATAAATCATACAGCATGATTTACAAAGTTTTGCCATAGTCAGTTTACTGGTATTTGCACCATTATTTAACGCCAAAAAGCATGTCTTTATGCATTTTGCGTTTGACACGGCTGCAATAGTTACTTATTTGCACTGCTCTTGGTAGATTGAGTTGGTCATTATGGAAACAAGCTGGCTGTAGATCAGTAGATCACTGGACTTTTTGGATTTCTTATTTTCACAGTGAGTGCTTACACCTATTGAGCTGGTATCAGCTTACAGAAATCACAAAAAAAAATTCCTCAGTGACACAGCAAACACGCAAAAAACTCAGAAGAATGATGGACCTATAAATGCTGTCAAGCTAACGTTTGCAAACACACCTGAACACACAGGCTTTGAAGCCAGAGGGTAGATTTCGAGCACAGAGGGTGAAAGTGCTTACCTGTGTAGACTTGTCTTTCATGCATGAGGGGTTGTGCAGGTGGGATTCACGTGGCCACTGCCCTATCAGGTAGGGCCCGGTGATAGCGCCCAGAGAGGAAGTCCGTCTGATAGCACCTGTGCTCCACACCTGTTGCGACTTTGACCTCTCAACTGCCATAAGGATCAAACAGAAAGAGAAACAGATGGATGATGAGCATATGTACTGGGGTGGTGGCAGCCCTGAAGTTATTTCCCCATAAAATGCTACCTGTTTACTGACACATAAATACTACACATACTCAAAATCAACTACTTGGTGGGTTTTCAGAATGGTTCTGAACTGTTTGTTGAAATCATGTCCAACTCAATATGGTCTTGATGAATTGTTGATGAATTCATTCACTGATCTTGTCACAATGCATCTTGGGACTGCCTTCTGCACGAAGGATAAGTGATGCTGCCTTAAAATTTCCCAAAGTAAAGAATACTAAAGGAATACTCAAAAATAAATGCATAAATAAATTATATATATATACATAATTTTTTTAATTTATTTTATTGAATGAGTACTTGTAGTATGCTAGTATGTAGTATTTAAAAAAAACTGTACTTGCAGGAAATATGTTAATAAAATAAAAAGTTGTTTAAGTGTACTTAAGAAGAGTTCACTTTCATGACTGTTTCTTAACACACTTAAGTTTATAATGTCAAATTAAAGACGTTTTTCTTTAAAGCACATTTTAAATCATGTTTTAATAATCTTTTGATCTGCTTGAAAGAAGTACACTTAACATACTAAATAGTGCTGGGCGGTATGACCAAAAATTTATATCACGGTATTTTTCTAAGTTTGGGACTTTCGTATTCCTATGTTTTCTTTTGTCTGAAAACCACCTCAGACAACAAACAAATACCGAACCGAGTTCTCTTTCATGCCTTCTTGCACTTGAACCCGCCGCGGTGAGTATCCTCATAAACACAGTCAGTTTTGTATTAAGTGAACATAAAGTGTTGAGAAGGAAAACGTGTGTTGAGCAAACGCGTTACAAGTAACGCAAGTTATGTAATCAGATTACTTTTTTCAAGTAACTAGTAAAGTAACGCATTACTTTTTAATTTACGAGAAAATATCCGAGTTACTTTTTCAAACAAGTAACGCCAGTTACTTTGTTTTCCCATTTTTTTTTTGACTGACAGCTCTCCTGTAATAATTAATAATAAATATAATAATTAAATATGTTAAATAACACAAATATCCTTTATGCATTTAATCCCATTTTATTGTCTTTGCTGCTGACCTTCGATGACCCAATTCAACCATACTAATAAGCAAAAATTACTTTAGATAAATGTTAACATTTGATTTTTTATTTTTTTTTAATTGCTAAAGAGTGTTGAACGTTCGTCTCCTGCATCCTATTCTTCATGCAATCCAGAATGGTTTGAGCTGTGCCCTCTACTGTACAGATGTGAATTTACATTTCCGCAAAAGTAACACAACACATTACTTTCCATAAAAAGTAACTAACTCACCACAGTGCAACAGTGAAAAGGGACCTCTTTCAAACAGTGTCGCGTTCCGAACGTTGTTTAAGTGACATACAAGCATATTGCGGTATTTTAAAAATTCATATCATAACAAAAATAAACACTGGTATTCGGTATGAACCGGTATATCGCCCAGCACTAATACTAAAGCATACGTAAAGTACTAAAAATTATCATTTTTACTGTAATGTGTATTTTATATTACATCTACAGTTAATACAATTTAGATGTATTAAATTGCAACTTCATCATTACAAATGTGTATAACGCCAGTTACTTTGTTTTCCCATTTTTTTTTTGACTGACAGCTCTCCTGTAATAATTAATAATAAATATAATAATTAAATATGTTAAATAACACAAATATCCTTTATGCATTTAATCCCATTTTATTGTCTTTGCTGCTGACCTTCGATGACCCAATTCAACCATACTAATAAGCAAAAATTACTTTAGATAAATGTTAACATTTGATTTTTTATTTTTTTTTAATTGCTAAAGAGTGTTGAACGTTCGTCTCCTGCATCCTATTCTTCATGCAATCCAGAATGGTTTGAGCTGTGCCCTCTACTGTACAGATGTGCTTTTTAATTTCCGCAAAAGTAACACAACACATTACTTTCCATAAAAAGTAACTAAGTAAAGCAATTAGTTACTTTTTTAGGGAATAACACAATATTGCAATGCATTACTTTTAAAAATAACTTTCCCCAACACGGTGTATCAGTATATTAGATCCATGCATTAAGCCTTAAAGTGACAGCAGCATAATACACTTGCTTTCTGTGTCCTTAATGTTGATCAAACAACAAAAAGACTTGACTGAATAACTTCTGTAACTTTAATAAAACTAATCCAGATTTAATTTATATTCATTGTGGTGATTCTACTGATTCAACTAAGAGTCTTATGTGTGCTTCACATGTGAAATGTGCTTTTTGTGTTCTTCCCTGTATAGTAACTTATGAGATTCCGTGGCAGTTAGGATGCTGCCTCAGAAGACAGCAGAAAACAAGTCAGCTTTTGTTCATTAATTCACCACTGAACACTGAACTCCATTACAGTCACAACTGATGATCATTACAGCCTCTGATGATGCATTATGGTCTCGGAGTGATTTCTGCAATTCAGCTGTGGGTCAAATACCAGACCCCATGTGTAAGTTGTGAAAGTGTTGGTTACCAGTCTATGGTTAATGGTTTTATTTAGTGTCAATACCTATTTAGATGTATTAAATTGCAACTTCATCATTACAAATGTGTAATTACAAATATATTTAAATACATGTAACATTTCAATAGAAATAACATTAAAGTACATTTTAGATCACCATAAAACCCGGCAGTACACTTTAACCATATTTCAAAGACAATAAAAGTAATTATAAAATTACATATAAAGATGTACTTTATTAAAAAAAAGTGTTTAATATAAATATAAATCATAATACATTATTTTTTTTTTAATTGCAATTAACATGCAATTAAGTGTCCAAAATCGTTCGGTTTGCACTTAAGGATATTCTTTTAAAGTTTTTTTTTTTGTTTCTGTAACAAGTACTCTATTCTTTGAGAATGTATCAGTTTTTTTGTCCATATAATAAAATTCACTGTGATTCAATGTAGTTTTGGACACAGAGTTTCATTTTACAACAGCTGGAACATGCTTTAAAATACTGCCTTTTGTGTTCTGCAGAAGAAAGTAAGTTTTCTTTGGAATGGAATAAGGGAGAGAAAATGATCACATACTTTTCATTTTCAGGTGAACTGTCCCTTTACATAGCAGCATAATTACACTACCGACATTTTGGAGCGGGCTAAATGTGAAGAATGCACCTATTATGACCTATTATTATGATTTTTTTATATTTTATGAATTATATTCTATGCTGTCTAGAAAGACACTATGTAATCAACATCTTATCAGTCCACTCTGCTCATAGCCTATCTACCGTAGAGGTAGATGGGCTACAGATGCGGGTTAACTTGTTTGCGCTTTGTGTTAAAGCAGAACATCAATCCTTGACACACCTGATAAAAATACCTCATGCACATCCCTCAGTCCACAAAGATGGAGGAAGAGGAGGAACTGTGTCAAGGGCAAGCAAACTTATCTAATCAGTGACAGTCAGAGCGTGACACTTTCCTACAGCAGAGATGACAATATTTACACCTCTCTATGACACCCTCTCTATTTACACCTCTCCGTCCAACTCCAGTAATAAATTTACTAGTCAACTACACTAACCAATTAATTGATTGTTGCATAAGTAGTTGGCCATCCTGTCTCATTCCCATGTACTATATACACCATCAAGATTTTGATGCATGGAAATGCAAGATGAATCCAGACCACCTGATGAATTGTGTGTCTTTGACCTGTTAGCAAGTACTAGTCTTATGTATTATCTTTTTTGTCAAACCCCACTAGTAAACTCACAAGTCAACCACACAAACCAAGTAGCTGGCTGTTGGATGACAAGTTGCCATCCGATCAGCTAGCTTCACTAGCACCTTGACCAATTTGGTATTTTATCACATTTATGTGCTTCTGATAAACTAGTCACTAATAAACTAGTCAGTTGTTGGATGACTAGTTAGATAATCTGTCCCATCCCTATCAACCAGATTCAATACCATAGTTTGGCTGGTCAACAGCATGGCTAAGCTGGACCATCTGATAGACTAACAACTAACCAGTATAATCCAGCCTTGACAAGCATGAATCCAGACCAACTGGTGAACTTTGTGTCCTTTGACCTGGTGACCTAGGTCAACAGGTTATTTGCTTCTGTACAATCCCACTACTAGTAAACTCAGTAGTCAACCACCCAAGCCGAGTAGTTGGCTGTTGGATGATTAGTTGGCCATCCTATCAACCAGCTTCACTAGCAGTTTGACAAACAACTTCTAGCCAGGTGAATCATCTCAAAAGGGCAAATTGATATTTTATCACATTGATTTGCTTCCATACAACTAACATGGATAAACTACTCAGTTGTTGAAGGAATAGTTGGCTAATCTGTCCCATCCCTACTGACCAGATCAAATAGCACAGTTTGGATGGGTCAACAGCATGGTTATGCTGGCCCACCAGCTAGACTAACACAAGCCAGGCTGGACCAGCATGGAAATTTAGGATAAACCCAGACCAACTGGTGAACTTTGTCTCCTTGACCTGTTAGCAAGTTCTAGTCTGGTGAATCATCTTAAATTTCATCCTTTTTATTTGCTTCTGTCCAACCCAACTACTAGTAAACTCACTCATTAATCACACTAACCAAGTAGCTGGCTGCTGGATGACTAGTTGGCCATCCTATCAACCAGCTTCAACTAGCAGTCTGACCAGCAACTTCTAGCCTGGTGAATCATCTCAAAAGAGCAATTTGGGATTTTAATCACACTCATCTGCTTCTATAAACCAGTCAATTGTTGGATGAATAGATGGCCAGTCTATCCCAAACAAGCAAGGTTTGGCTGATCAGCTTGACTAACACTAACCAGCATACACCAACCTGGAGCAGGATGGATATTCGGGATGAATCTAGAACAACAGCTACGATCTGCATTCTTGACCTGTTGACCAGTAACTTCCAGTCTGGTCCTCTTAAAAGAGCAATTTAG